TTATGCTAGTCAAGGACTTTTCAGCTTCTCATGCTCTACCAACTAAGAAGGCTGGAGATGCACAAGAAGCTGGGAGGGGGCACAGCCAGGACAGCTGAGCCAAACTGGCCAAAGGGCTATTCCATACCATGTGACATCACGCTCAGCATAGAAACTAGGGGAAAGCTGGCTGGGGGGCCACTGCGCAGGGACTGACTGGGCATCGGTCAGCGGGTGGTGAGCAATTGCCTTGTGCATCACTTTTTTTGTATATTCTTTTATCATTATTATTACTATTTTATTTTATTTCAATTATTAAACTGTTCTTATCTCAATCCACGAGGTTGGGTCTGGTGGTTTGGTGGGATTTTTTTCCCCACCGATTCTCTCCCCCATCCTACTGGGGATGAGGGGAGCAAGCAACTGGCTGTGTAGTGGCTCAGTTGCCAGCTGGGATTAAACAACAGTCCTTTTTGGCACCCAGCATGGGGCTCGAAGGGTTTGAGATAATAAAAGATTAACCAGAGCATATTAAGGAATTTATATCTCTTAACAGTTGCAGGTCATAATATTGATTCATCTGTTCTCACTATTAGTCTATCTGATCTGCACCATGCTCTTTTTTTTTTTGCTATACATGTTAAAGATTGGTGTTGATTTTTGCAGTTTGCTGTGCTGTGCAGTGATTAGTGATGTTTTGCCTGGGAGATTTGTTATTAAAACACTGGCCTTGAGCTTATCTGATAGTTGAGCTTTGTACTGAAGCCATTACTGTACTTCGGTACCACCTCGTGGAGACAATTAGCAATTACACTTTTTATGGAGGAAGTAACAGCACCTTCTCTACCTTCTTCTATGTTTCCTCCATCACAATAATTTTTCAGTATCTTGAAAATCCTTGGATAGCTAAGATACTTCTATTAGTATTTTTTGGGAATATTGTTTCAGTTTTGTCTAAGGTTAATAAGCAGTTTAAGAATACCATCCAGAGATCTGCCCCAAGGCTAGATAGTTGAGTGGCAGGGTGTGTGGGATAGCATGGGCAAAAGCCTAGGATGATGGGCACCTCCAGTGTTTTGCAAATTCACCCCAGAACAAGTGCAGAATCCTGAAAAATTAGTAGAATATTTGGAAAAAGTATGCTGTTACCCTGGCAATTCTAGGGAGACATAAATCACTGCAATGTGGTGGGGCCTGGCCCATGCCTACTGAGCCCTGTTCAGCACTATTCAGTACCCTCAAGGGGAAGAGAAGGTCTCTGGAGCTGATGACAAAATGACAGGCACTGCCACTACTCCAACCCCCGCCACAGGCACTGCAGCTGAACCAGGGAAGCAACCTGTGCCAATATCAGCTGCCCCTATACACAAGAAGAAATCTTAGAAGCAAAAGTCAGCTCCTTTAGTAAGGGATGATGAAAAAGCAGGGCCAGCAGGAGAAGAGGAGGAGGAAGAGGAAGAGCTCATAAATGAGGCAATAACCACACAACCCCTATCCCTGCATGAACTGCGATATGCAAAAAGATTTTAGTCGTCATTCAGGCGAGCACATCATCACCTGGCTGCTCTGATGCTGGGAAAACAGGGCCAGTAGCCTGGAATTAGAGGGTAGGGAAGCCAAGCAGCTGGGATCCCTTTCTAGGGAAGGGGGTATTGATAAAGCAATTGGAAAAGGGGCACAAGCCCTCAGCCTCTGGAGATTACTCCTGTCAGGCGTGAAGCAAAGGTATCCCTTTAAGGAAAATGTTATGCATCATCCATGCAAGCAGACCACTATGGAGAGAGGTATCCAGTACCTGAGAGAATTAGCTGAGCTGGAGGTGATTTCTGATGACCTGGACAAAGAGCACTTATCAAAAGATCCAGATAAAAACCAGTGCACACAATCCATGTGGCAGAAGCTTGTACAGAGCTCCCCCTCATCGTATGCCAACTCATTGGCAGTAATGATCTGGGAAGATGGAGAGGGACCAATGGCGGATGAATTGGCTGGCCAACTCCAGCAATACAAAGAAAGTCTCTCTTCCTCCCTCGTCTTGGCTGTGGACAAACTGTCCCAGAAGGCCCAGCAACTCAAAGAGGATATGTCCTACTCCCAACCTGTACAGACCAGTATCTCAGCCATTAGGAGGAAGCGCCCCTCTAACCAAGAGAGAGGATATAGTGGGTGCGCACCATGGGCCACCCTGTGGTTTTACCTGCGTGACCACGGAGAG